ATTTTCTGCCTTCAACTCATACAGATCTCTGTTTCTACTGTTCTATTGTATGCCAAGTTCTGTTCACCCAGCACCTTTGTCTTCACTAAGCTACATTATCTCCCAGTACTCCAATGTATCAAATTTAATATTTTAAAATTCTAAATACTTAAACCCTCCATGATCTTGTGCTTCCTACAAACCGTTCTCCTCCAAATCATTTATCTGGCTTAGGCATTTTGTTTAATCTGTCCACACCCAGGCCTTTGCCCCATTATTGGCTGTCTAGTACCCATACCTCAATTATCTTAATTAACTCCTCTACCTTTCCACTTCCCCTACTTCCTTTAAGATCTCTGAAATCCCACCTCTTTGTCTGAACTTGTGTTTCTGCCTTATTTTTAAAGTGGCTCATTTTCAAAAATATAAACAGTTTATTAATGTCATATGTCAGACTGGAAGCTTGGAGTATATGTTAAAGGCAAAATAACTGTCATTTGTAACTCAACCACTGTGTTCTGCTGGTCTAACATTGTCTCTCATAGCTCTTGCTGTTAGAACATAGAATGGTTTGCTATTTAACAAAATAAAGATTGGTTCCAGGAATTAAGTAATTGCAAACATTGACTTCAAAATATAAGGAGAATTAAATATAGAACCAATCATTCCTAATTGCAGAACATGAATGCAAAATAAAATTATTTTGTTCTAATTAGGCAACGATGTAGAACATCTCTGCAAAGCATGTTCGAGTCTCTATCATGCGTTGCAGGAGGGGAACATGCTGGGGAAAATGTGTAAAAGAAGAGCTGTTCTTCTAAAAACATTGTATAGACTGGTGGATGTTGGCTCAGATCAGCTCTCCATTCAGCTAGCTAAAATTATACTGGCGGTAAGTTTGATCTTTTTGTAGAGTTCTGGAGCCCTGTTCCTAATCGTGGCTTTTAGGTTTTAGCAGCTGAAGTGCATTTCCATTTTTGACAAAATTGATGAGCCCAGGTTTTGTCAGTCAGCTGCATTAGCAATTCATTAGATTATTCTCATGAATCTGGCACATCAAGAATGAACTGACAGTATGTTAGAATATTTAATTAAATGATGACAATGTACAGAAAGTGATAAAAGGAAAGGGAAAGAAAGATGTGATTATTAAAGATAAAAAAGTTAATTATTTGTAATTTCCAGCAAAAATTAAAAGCTGAATGAATTAGACGTTTTAACACAATTATTCTTTCATGGGATGTGGGTATCATTGGCAGAGGTCAGCATTTGTTGTTCATCCATAATTGCCCTTAAAGTAAATGGCTTACTTGGTCAATTCAGAGAACAGTTAATAGTCAGCCACATTGCTGTGGTATAGAGTCACATGTAGGCCAGTTCAGGTAAAAATTATTGAAACTAGTTTTCAAATCCAGATTTAATGAATTGTGTTTAAATTCCACCAGCTGCCTTAGTAGGATTTGAATTCATATCCACAGAGCATTAATTTGGGCCTCTGGTTTACTAATCCCTTGACATTACCACAACACTACCCATTTCCCCTCATAATCCCTATCTCCTCCAAATAGACAAGAAAAAAATAATTTTCATTGCCGGACAGGTAGTTTAACAACCAATAGACTTATCATGGTATTATAAATTTGCTTATTTATAAATGGATTGGCAAGTGCTAACATTCCTGGTGAGTTCAGCAGTTATCAATCACTTTAAGTACAATAGCTTCATTATGTTCCACACAATTCAATAGAATCTTTCTAGCTGAAAGTATATTGAAGATTCTAGAGAAGCAGGACGAGTTGGATGTGATTTCCATGTTTAGTTGCACATGTGCAGTCAACAGACTTTGTAATCTGATTTATTTTTTGATAACGTTCGTGAGTGGAATGAACTTCCCGAGGAGGTCGTGGATGTAGGCACAAGTACAACATTTAAAAGACATTTGGATAAGTACATGAATAGGAAAGGTTTGGAGGGATATGGGCCAGGAGCAGGCAGGTGGGACTATTTTAGTTTGGGATTATGTTCGGCATGGACTGGTTGGACCAAAGGGTCTGTTTCCATGCTGTATGACTCTAAGACTCTGATAGCAAGGACTGATATTACTTTGTCAATCACAAAATCTAGGATATTATTTTGTCAGTAAATAAGTATATATCAAATTTATATTAAACATCAAAACTAACATAATTAATAAAAATATTATCATTAACTCAGCACACTACTATTTAGTAGAAGCTAAAGCTGAATGTTCAGTGTTAACTCTGCTGCCAGACAGCTTGGGCCACTTTTTCTGATTGTACTTTTGATTGTCTACTTCATGTGCTCTGAAGTCTTTAATATGTGCTGATGCCCACAAACAATTTGTGATTGTGATGACATTATTAAAGACTTGTAGTTGTTAACTTCAGGAATATTCTTAGGGTATTACAATTGAATAATTTTACTTTCATATTTAGTTACCTTTTTGTCATTTCTTTTGTTTCTAGCTGAAAGTAAGTGGCAGAAATCTCCTTAACATCTGTAAATTGATGTTCAAAATTAGTAGGAGTGAGAATAATGATGTTCTATTCCAAAATGATAACATTTTGGGTAAGTTAAACTTCCTAAAAATATTAAAATTGTGAAATATTGAAAAATAGAACTATCATGATGGAGTATGTCATACTGTAATGTTTCATAGTATTGTTATGCTACTGAATGCTATCAGTCATTTTGAAAAGTGTAGTCTCACATTAATTGGGTTTTTTTTAAGTTCATGGAACATTTGATGCAGCCTGTTTATCTTTCATTTTCAGTTATCTCTTTGTGTGGTTTAGTATCACCAGTGAGCTTGATTGAATAATGTGTAACAATATTGCAATTTGAACATGAATCAGCAACGTAATTTGATATTTTCTCTCGTTAAAAATAATTCTAAGCCTCAATATTGCCTTCACCCCTCAAAATCCTAATAACAAACACAATTTTCAATATGTGTGTTAGGGAGAATTTTGCAGTTTAAATGTACTTTATTATCATAAAACTAGTTCTACAATAATTAATGCTGGGGGAATTTGTAAATCAGTATTACAGCACAATAGCTCATTTTTACGTTATAGCTTTAACATAGGAAAATATTCTAAAGCACTTCACAGCCATTTTTTTTAACATAGAGACATTGGAATGGGTGATCAAAAGCTAGGTCAAAGAGTGGGAATTTAGGAAAGTGAGGGAAGTGGAAAGTTTGAGACGTTTAGGGAGGGAAGTCCTGAAAATGTGGCCAAGGCAGTAGTCAAAGCTAAAAGTTAGGTGGCAGGGTCTGCTGCACTTTTAGGAAACTTACTGCAGTGAAGCAGACCAGTTCTGTTGAAGTTCCTGACAGACATTAACACTCAATTAGATTGAATAGATGGATTAAAAAGTGAGATTAAAGTCCTATGAGAACACTGTGGGTAAATGGGATTAGAACCATTTGTTTGCATGGAAGATTAATTGACATAAACCAGTTATACCTTTTGTGGTTATACTATATCAATATGTAATTATAGGGAATTCAACAGTACACTATACAATTAGGGTTTCCAATGACACTCCACCAAGATTACAGTGGTCAACGGGGAGAACTCTGAGGAAATTACAGGAGAATACATTCATGTGAAGTAATGAACAGATTTTACACTATGCTGCTGACCTTGAATAAAACTGCCAAAGATGTAGAGACATCAGATTCTCCCATCCAATCCTAGCATTTAATCCGTGACACCAGCAGGGATTCTGGGATCCGTCAACTATGAAATCACCAAGCAGACTGATTAGCTAATCAAATTGAAGGATTCTTATAGAAAGCAAACCAAGAATTAAAAACCACAGATTACAATTTGCTTTTTAGTCATTTTGCTTGTTCATGCTAATCAGAACAACGTATATTAAATTGAACACTTAGTGTTCCAGTTATGGATAGTATTAAAAATAGCTAACTCTTCGCTGTAAGATCAATTGTGTTGTGTGGCACTATCATCCATGCTAAATGGGACAGATTCTGAACAGATCAAGCAATTCAAGACTGGAAATCCATGAGGCACTGTGGGACATCAAAAACAGCAGAATTGCACTTTAACATAATCTACAACCCCATGGCCTGGCATATCTCCCACTCAACCATTACCACTAAGCCAGGGGGATCGACCCTGGTTCAATGGAGAGTAAAGGATGGCATGCCAGGAGCAGCACCAGGCTGTGGAAATGAGATGTCAACATAGTGAAGCTACCAAACGGGGCCACTTGGCATGCCAAACAGCATAAACAACACGTGATAGACAGCACTAAGTGATCCCACAACCAATGGATCAGATCTAACCTCTCCAGTCATGCCACATGAGTCATGAATGGTGTTGGAGAATTAAACAGCTCACTGGAAGAGGAGGCGGCTCCACAAATATCTCCATCCACAATTATGGAAGAGCCCAATACATCAATGCAAAAGATAAGGCTGAAGCATTCTCGGCAATCTTCAGCCAGAGGTGCTAAGTGGATGATCCATCTCAGGCCTGCTCCAGTGGTCCCAAGCATTACAGATACCAGTTTTCAACCAGTTAAATTCACTCCACATGATATCAAGGAATTGTTGAAGGTTCTAGATACTGCAAAGGCTATGGGCCCTGACAACGTTCCGGTAATAGTACTGAAGACTTGTTCTACAGAATGTGCAAATCCACTATCCAAGATGCTCCAGTACAGTTACAACATTGGCTTCTACCTGACATTGTGAAAAATTACCCAGGTATATCCTGTACACAGAAAGCAGGTCAAATCCAACCTGGCCAATTACCACCCCATCAGTCTCCTCTCAAACATTAGTGAAGTGACAGAGGGTCTCATCAACAGTGCTGTCAAGCAGCACCTGCTCAGCAATAATAACCTGCTCAGTTGTACCCAGTTTGGGTTCCACAGGGCCACTCATCTGCTGACCTCATTATAGTCTTGGTTCAAAAAAGTGCTGAATTGGAGAGGTGGGGTGAGAGTGGCAGCCATTGACGTCAAGGCCACATTCGATTGAGAGTGGCATCAGGGAGCCCTAGCAAAATTGGAATCAATGGCTATCAGGAGGCAAACTCTCTGCTGGTTGAAGTCATACTCGGCACATAGGAAGATGGTTTCGATTATTGGAAGTCGGTAATCTCAACTCCAGGACATCTCTACAGGAGTTCCTCAAGGCAGTGACCTACACCAACCATCTTTGGCTGCTTCACCAATGACCTTCCCTCCATCATAAGGTCAGAAGTGGGGATTTTTGCCGATGTTTGCACAATGTTCAGCATCATTCGTGATGCCCCAGATACTGAAGCAGTCCAAGTTCAAATTCAGCAGGATCTGGAAATATCCAGACAAGTGATAAATAATAGTCGTGCCATTCCAATAACAGACAATCTAACCACTGCCCCTTGATATTCAAGTGTTACCAACACTGAATCCCCTACTATCAACATCCTTGGGGTTACCATTGATCAGAAACTCAACAGGATACGCCACATAAACACAGTGGCTACAACATCAGATCAGAGGCTAGGAATATTGTGACAAGTAACTCATCTCCTGACTCCCCAGAGCTTGTCCACCATCTATAAGGCATGGGTCAGGTGTGTGGTGGAATAGATCCCACTTCCCTAGATGGGTGTAGCTGCAACAATATTCAAGAAGCTTGACGCCATCCAGGATAAAGCAGCTTGCTTGACTGGCACCACATTCACAATCATCCACTCCCTCCTCTACCGATGCTTTGAAGGAGCAGTATGTACTATCTACAAGATACACTGCTGAAGTTCACCAAAGATCTTAGACAGCACCTTCCAGATCCATGACCACTTCCATATAGAAGGCAAAGGGCAGCAGATGCATGGAAACATTATCACAATAATAGGACTGAAGACTTGTGCTCCAGAACGTGCCACTCCAATATCCAAGATGTTCCACTGGCATCTATCCGATAATATGGAAAATTGTCCAGGTACATCCTGTACACAAAAAGCAGAACAAATCAAACTTGACCATTACTGCCCCATCAGTCTACTCTCAATCATCAGTAAAGTGATGGAATGTGTCATCAACAGTGTTACCAAGCACTCACCTTCCTGACTTGGAAATATATCATCATTCCTTCACTGTCACTGGGTCAAAATCCTGGAATTCCCACCCGAAGGGCTTTGTAGGTCAACCAACAGCATGTGGACTGCAGCAGTTCAAAAAGTCAGCTCGTCACTACCTCTCAAAGGCAACTATGGGCAGGCGATAAATATTGGCCAGCCAGTGACGCATATGTCCCATGAGTGAATAAAAAAAAGAAAAAGATAGTAACGTTCTCTGGTGCTCATTCACACACATCAAAGAATAACGATATCCTTTGATTCTCAGTGCCTTTGTGATGAGAAGGATTCTGGTCTGGTTAAAATTGAACTCAAGACTGACACAAAAAAAATGTAATGGACAGTGAATGGGTGACTGTTAGGAAAGATATACTTTACATACAGGCTAAGTACATTCCAACAATAGTGAAAGATAAAGTCTCAAAAAACCCTGCCAAAATGGGCTTCTTGGAAAATAACAGTGATGGTGATCATGATGAAGCAAAAAACAAAGGTGTACAATGTGTCAGGTGAATTTTTCAAGTAGAAACCAGGTCAAATAGAGTAGGTTGAGAGAACAGGTGAAGAGGAAAGTACATTTGGCAAAGAGAGACTGTAAAAATAGAATGGTAGTCAATGTGAAAGGGAACTGATAAATCTTCTGCCAGTGGGTAAATAGTAGACAGGTACAAAGAGATGGGCTGAGTCCTATAAGGGAGAAAGAAGGTGACATAAAGTAAAAGGCGCAGGCAAAGTTAGAGTACTTAATGGGTCTTTTGTATTGATATTTACTGAGGAAGAAGAATCTGACATAATGTCAGTAGAATCAGAGATAGCATAGACAATGGAGCAAGTGAGAGTTGAAAGAAAGGAGGTGTTGCAAAGGCTGCTATGCCTAGGGTGAATAGGTAACCTGGTTTGGATTATTTGCATCCTAAGGTGCTAAAGAAAATAGGTGTGGAGGTAGCAGAAGGCCTTGCCTTAATCTTTCAATTTTCCATAGATATGGAGGAGGTGTCGGTGTCAGGATTGAAAATTGAATATGTGACATCCAATTTCAGAAAAGGATGTCAGGACAGTCCTAGAAACTACAGGCCAGTTATACTAACAGTGGTGCAGGGCTGGATGAACACAGCAGGCCAAGCAGCATCATAGGAGCAGAGAGGCTGACGTTTCGGGCTGA